TCACTCTATGCTGCACTGATTAGGCCTCAGCTAGAGCACTGTTCAGTTCTGGGTACCACATTTCAAGAAAGATGTTAACACAGTTGGCAAAAAAAAAAAAAAAAAAAAAGAAAAAGCAGCAAGGCAGCAAACATCATTCTGAGATGTATTAGTAGTAGTGTTGTAAACAGGGACATGAGAAATAATTCTTTCACTCTATGCTGCACTGATTAGGCCTCAGCTAGAGCACTGTTCGGTTCTGGGTACCACATTTCAAGAAAGATGTAGACAAATTGGAAAAAGTCTAGAGAAAAGCAACAAAAATGACTGAAGTTCTAGAAAACATGACCTAAGGGAAGATTGAAAGAAATGGTTTATTTAGTCTGGAAAAGAGAATGCTGAGGCCTGGGTCTACAATAGACCAGGCAGGTCTGCTTAAGTTACGCCATCCGCTACGTAAAATGCGTAGCTGGATTTGGTTTATCTTAAGCCAAGCCGCCTTAGTGTCTACACTATGGGAGGCCGACAGGGGCACACACTGCCATTGGCTTCCCTTACTTCTCTCAGAGTGAGGAGTACAGGACACCCATGGGAGCTGCCCTCAGCATTTCATTGGGGGGGATGTTCATTAGACCTGCTAAATTGAATACTAGAAGATCAACCTACAGAGGGTCAATCTTTTCTGTAGAGTAGACATGACCTGAGAGGAACCATGATAATGGCTTTCAAGGACCTAAAAGGTTGTTACAAGGAGGCGATGGAAAAAATGTCCTCCTTAACCTCTGATAAGACAAACAATGGGCTTAAAATGCTGTCTGGGTGGGTAAGCACTGGAATACATTGCATAGAGAGATTGTGGAATCCCAATTGTTGGAGATTTTTAAGAGCAGGTTAGACAAACACCTTTCAGGGGTGATTTAGATGCTGCTTGGTCCTGCCATGAGTGCAGGGGGACTGGACTTGAAGACCTCTCAAGCTTCCTCCCACTTCTATTATTCTATGATTTCATTATTCTCATTATGTAATCTATCAGGATAGACTATGTTGAAGAATAGTCCCATTTACCAGCAGCTGCTGACTTTCCCAAAGTTTCTCCATATTATCATGAAAACCAAGAATAAGGTACAAGGGTTCCCTTCCCTGTGGCCATGAGGTATTTAGGTGTCATTTACCATTGATGGGAATAGTAATCATGTAGTCAAATTCCCTCCATACAATGCTTTCAAACTGCACCTCTGAAAATCTAAGAAATCTTGTAATCCAATTATAATTGGTATTGTCTGTATTTACCAGAAATTACCCTTGTGCTAACGGAAAACTAAACGTTTGCATGAGCCAAATACAGGAAGTTTTGATTCTGTGAATCACACTCAAGGGGACATAACCACTTGCTGAGAAAGAGGCTGAATTTGTGGTCCAATATTTTCTGGTTCTCCAAAACATTTTGATTTGTTCTCTCAACAGAAATATAGTCAAGATAGCAGCATTTGAGCCTGAATTTACTCTGATATACAACACATCCTGTGGAATACTCACACAGAATTCCTTTGCTGTTGCCTTCACAGTGAAAGGGGAAGACAGTCAAAATGGGCTTAGGGCCTTATGTGCACTGCTTCCTTGGGTATGTTCCAACTGTAGCACAGTGAGCAAGATGCTACTTGAGGGTGTTCCCAGGGCCATGGCAGTGTGTTCCTCCTGCTGACTGGCTATTGTAAAAGAGAGTGTTTCAGGCCTGATTCACCCCACGCCGCTTCTCATGTAAAGTCTGGGCAGACACACCTTGTACTTTCAGTGAATTATTCCCCCGCCCCATCCAACAGAGCAAGGACATTTTGTTTCCTGGGAACTCACCTTAGATCAATCTCATCCCCCAGGAGTTTGTATTTTGGACTTTGAATTCACCCAGTGAGCATTAGGACTCTCTTGAGGATTTATCTCTTGCTCATTCATTCTAGGTTAAGGGATGACTTTCACTTAATCAAAGACCTGGGCATGATGCCATATCATAAGACATACTTTCCAAATCAGTAACTTCTTCCTTGAGAGCTTTCATTTTGTAATGCATATCTTTGATCTGCTGGGAGAGCCCTGTACTGTATCCAATCTGTTATGCAGTAAGCCTACACTTACTTGACACCTTCTGGGGGGCTTAGTCTTTTAAGTTTCTGGAAATTATTGGAATACTCACCAGACGGAAAGGGATTCTGCTCATCCTCAGAATAATGGGGCTTTAACAATGACATTGTGAATCACTTGGCTTAGATTGTTGGGGCTGTGAGGAAAGAATAAGACTTGAGAGGAATTCAATCTTCCAACTGATTAAAACCAACCATGAAAAAGTATGTAAATAATAAACTAGGAAAGCTAAATGCCTGCTAGCATCCATAATATACCCCACATACACGTCCCACTATCTTTCCTTTCCTTACCCTCACTCTCTAAAAATATTTTAATGTCATTAATTTATTTTCCAAAGATCAGTCTAGCCATGCATATAAATGTTCACTTATTAAATAAATAAACCAATTAGGAAGAAAATCCCATAGCAATTTCTCTCTGTTACAAATTCATCGGTAACTCAGTTCACTGGTTAAAATACTGAATCTAAATCATGTAGCACATGTACACCTGAAAAAATAAATGTGATCCTTGTTCCTTAGAGGAAAACTATTGGGAAACCCCACTACTTCTGAAACAGGAATATACTGTTTAGAGTCTCTCTTTTAAAAATCACACACTTTTAACACTTTTATTAAAGAGGTATAAATAGAATAAAACCAATAAAGATTCCACGAGCAGTAACAGTTAATTCGAACTAACGGGTTTATCTTGGGATCCCGCTTCTCTGCCGTGTGTAGACGTGGGCAGTTACTTTGGGCTAGTCAGTTTCCAAAATGGTAACCGGCTGGGATTATGCTAATCAAGCGTGGGATATTTAAATCCCGAGCTTCATTAGCAATTTCAGTCACCCTCATTAGCCTCCCTAGTTCGAACTAAGGGGCTAGTGTAGATGTACCGTAAGAGATAGATTTTAAGTGATGGACAAAATGTCAGAGTGTGTGTTACCAAAAGCAAATAAAATATAAGCATGCAGTCAAAACACTCAATTCTATTAGACTGGACAACATTTCGATTAAGCAGTTTCTCTTACCCAGCTGGTTATTGCGGTTCATAGTGTACAGGTTTCACCCTTGAAACCTGGGCCTGTCCCTTCTGTCTAGGAGTCTCTGTTGGAAATTCTTTGTCCCTCGCAGCATAGGTGAAGGCAGGAGAAATGCCAAGTCCATGTGCTTGGAGAATACAAATCCAGGCATGTCTGGGGGCATTGCTGAGTCCCCAGACAAGGCTGAACAATTCTGTTTGTATGGTTTCCTGCAGATGAGTCATTGATTTGTAGCTCCCTTGCTGCTAGACAATGACTATTGGTGGTTGTTTGACACCCTATCTCAGTGTTGGTTACTCTCCATGCTTTGTCTCAGGGCTGCTTTCCCAATTACAGCATGTTTTAGCGACAACCATACAACACAATCTCATAACTTAATCTACACCAGATAGCCAAAACCATGGGTTTCTGCAATGCATAACCTTTACCCTGATACCTTACATGGCATGCTTTATATGCAAGATCATCTCTCTACATAAATGAGGGATATGTGGGTTACAGAGCATGCCCACAAGGTGGGGAGTGTCACTGTATGAACTTGACATAAAGAGAGGTTCAGAGAGAGGCTTCTCAAAGGCTCTGTGATTCCTGAGTTGTAGCGCTGAGTTCACAGCTCTGATAGCAGTAGTTGTTTGAGCATGCAGAGTCGGGCAGAACTTTTAATGTGGAAAAATATCCATGATGCAAACAACTCACAAGATCTATAACTAAAAAACAACTATAAAAAGGCTCTCAATCCTGAAGTCCTTATTCACTTTTTTTACCTTATTCATGGGGCTTGTCTACACTTGAAATGCTACAGCAACACAACTACAGCACTGCTGCAGCTGTTCAGCATGGATATTACATATGCCAATAGAAGTTCTCCTGTCTGCAGTGTATGTTGCTCAGACCTCTGGATCTTCACAACCTGAGCAACATAGCACACACAATTTAATTTTCTAGTGTAGACTAGTTCTTACTGGGGCAAAACTGATAGATTTCAACTGGAGTTGTGCCTTAGGAAGTACTGAATGAGGAATTGAGATTGCATGTGTAGGTGAGTTAGTATTATGGGAGCAGATTCTCAGCTGGTGTAAATTGGCTATCTCCACTGACGTCAGTGTAAGTCACCAGACTTCTACAGAGCACTAAAGTTAATTGAGCTATACCTTCTTAATTAAAGAGGTAACCAATTGTGTTTTGAAAAGGTGGATAATTTGGTCTAGAGAAAAGAAACAAAGAACTCCAGCTGACAGTTGCTGTTAGTTGGTGGCCTGGAAGGTAATGCTCATAGGTCAAGAGCGATAAACAGAGTTGGTGGTGAGGAAATCCTCAATTCCATCTTTTTATGGTTGTCAGTTATCCTGTTACAACAAACAGGGATCGCAAAGCACCTTCTTCATATTCTTCTCTATGTACTAGCTGGGAAGGGACTGTGTGTCACAGTGAAGTTTTTGCAGCTACCAAAATGGCAGTAAATACCCTGTCCTCCTATGACATAACTGTGTATGTAGAACGCTGCTCATACCACACAGACGTAAGACTCAGATCTTTCATGTTTTACTTTATCCTTGAGCAGTGCCATTGGCTGTCTAAACAAAAAAGAAGCATAAGGCCAAGTACTGCTGTTGCTGTGTAGAAGACTGATGATATGAATTAGCAAGAGTTTGCCGTGGCAACAAAGGCTGGACTGGTCGATCACATTCTCAATTAACTGAGTAGTGTTCAAATAATAAGAAGAATGAGGTGTTTGGCTTCTTTGTTTACTTGCTGTTCAACTCAGCTTGCTTCTGATGTTTTTGAAAATTAAAACAAAAAGAGAAAGAGAAAAAAATGAACTGATTTGTGGAGGTTACATAGCAAATAGCCTGTTCTCTGTCATAAGGTCCCATATATTCATATGCTTTATTTCATAGGTACAGCACAGTTAAGTCACCAAGGGGAGCTTAATTGTTAGAGTGCTGGATAACATTGTTTTGCCATTTTAAAACTCACTTTGAAGAAATACTTTGCAGGCAAATTAAGGACACAATTCCACAAGATTTTGAGTTTACTAGGGAATGAGGCATGTCGGCACCTCCTAAGACCAGGCCTTAAATGTTCCCCTTCTCTTGGATACTTGAATGACATAAAATGTAACACAATGTAATGGACTTACATGTAGACATTTACATGGGTTGCAAGGCTGCCTATAACTGCAGTCCATTTGAATCTCTCAGTAAAATAATAAAATAAGGTTTGAACCTTTATTTTTTCAAATCAGGACATTTGCAAACAATTGGCATTTTTGCTGCATAAATCTAATTCAGCGATCAGGTGACTTATGTGGCTTTGCACTGAGAACACTTTGTACTTCATGTGCGCCCAGGGAACTCTAGCTTGCCTTGAATTATCTTCAGCAATTGCCTCGCCTAACAGTTGTTCCAGTCTTGTACTCTTCACTTTTAATCAGTAATCTCCTAGTTGCATTTTTTATGTTGTAGTTTTTTTCTCATACCCTGTGCATAGAGAAAAAGGAAAATGATGTGATGAGAACACACATCTGGACGTAGTTTTAAAAATGTCCTCAACCCCGCCTACACATTCAGGCCTCCAATTCTGGATACTCATGTTTTCTGACACATCTAACCTCAGCTCTCTATGTGAAATTAGCATGGGTGTATGCACACTAATTTCGCTACTCTGAACATTTTGATACCCTAATATGTGCATATCTAAAGTCATCCACTTTGGACATTCAGATTCAAAGGCCTTTTTGATGATTTGCCTTGAAAAAGTTTTGCTTTCTAAAGTCACTTATCCTGTGCAAAGTTAATGAGCAGCCAGGCTGAACACTTTCTAATGCCTAAACCCAAACAGCATCTTGGGTGGCCTGAAGATAATATTTACCAACATTCACACTGCAGACAAATAGCTTTATTTGAGCATGAGGGATGGAAACAGTCTTAGGTTTTGTTTATACTGCAGACAATATATCTATAAGGTATGTCTAAATTACACCTCTCTGTCTGCAGAGGGATGTAAATTAGACACATCGAAAGTGCAAATGAAGCCAGGATTTAAATATCCCATGCTTCGTTTGCATAATTGCAGCTGCCGCTTTTTTTCAAAATTGGGCTTTTCGAAAAAAATGGCAGTTCAGACAGGGCATTTTTGACAGAAATGACTGTTTCAAAAGAGGAGTATAGGATCTTTCAAAATGGGGCATTTCTGTCGAAAATGCTCCGTCTAAACTGCCGGGTTTATTCGAAAAGCCCGGTTTAGAAAAAAAGCGGCGGCTGCCATCATGCAAATGAAGCATGGGATATTTAAATCCCAGCTTCATTAACACTTTCGATGTATTTAATTTATATCCCTCTTCCGACAGAGGGGTGTGGTTTAGACGTACCCTCTAGGTTAACTTAAATTTTAGGTGCAGACCAGGCCTTACTCTGGCTTTTTATGAGTCTTCCCTCTTTCAATACACAAGAACAAACACCAGTGCTGCCAGTCTGCTGAGATTTGTACAACTGGATCAGTCTATGTCAGCCCTAATGCTAATTAACAAAATTGCATTTTCTTAAGCATATGCCTTTCAAAACCAGTTTCACTTCCTCATACTACCCTCCTGGGAACCAGGTGGGATGGATTCTATCTATCTATGGTACTTTTAAGATGCTAATCCAGGAGGATCTAAGTACAGACATGTCAAAATCAGGTAGCCATCTTTGTTGACAAAGCAATAATGTTCCCTGCCAGAATTAAGTTCAAGGCCAAACACCAAGGCTATTTTTCCTTGAGGCTTTTTCCCCTTTAAAATGTTCATTATTGCAGCAGGGCTAAATGATAGTTGGTAATGGAAACTCCTGTTTCAGGTCTATACTAGTGCTTCCATGGGTACAGAAAAACTCATTGGAAATAAGAAGTAAAAAATAATTGCTAGTGTAAGCAATTTCCCTCTCAACTATCAGCCAGTATAGAGCTTCGATAGTACGGTAAGACACAGAGGACAAAAATAGTCATAATGCAGTTTAGCATTAGTCTCCTGAGGGGTACAGTTTAAATGGTTTTACTCAGATACCTCAAGGAAGTCTTGTGCCTGCTTACAGGTTTTGATTCAACATATGCAAACCCAGAGTTGTTTGCTGAGGTTTTGAGAATACACAAGGAAGGTTGGATTACACCAAACTGGCTGCGGTGTTTCTGTGACACCTCAGTGTGCCTGTATACTCACAGAAAAGCATGTGAATAAGGGTGGGTTGTTTTTTGTGAATAGCTTCATTGTCATATGCATAAAGGTCAGCAGAATTGTGCCTCTACTAGGAATGGGTGTCAATACGAGTTGGACCTCCCTGGTCTGTCACCCGAGCGACCTGACTGGTCCTGAATGATGGATTTTGCTGGACCACAGGAGGTCATTTCTGGCCTCCCAGCCTGGTTCCTCCTGGCATGGCCACTGGCCTCTTCAACGGCTCCCCCCCGCCACAGGTCCTGCTGCCCCACAAGCAATCTGCTCTGATGCCAGGCCCTGGTCCCTCCAGCCCTGCTACAGCAGCCTGTGGTCCTGCCAAAGGAGCTCCTAATCCTACCACAGTTGACTGCTACCCCACTGCCTAGGCTCCCTGCCCCACCAGCTCTGCCACAGCTGACTCAGGGCTCCTGGTTCTGCCATACCTGCTGCAGCAGCCCGTGGTCCCATTGCTGGGGCTTCTAGTCAATCGCAGCTGGCTGCTGCTGCTCTACTGCTGGAGCTCCTGGCTACACCAGGGCAGACCTGCCCATCGGAGCTTGCTGGTGCTCTGCACACCCTGTTGCTGGCTCAGCCAGTCCCCCTGCAGCCAGCCCATCTGGGTTCCCAGCCCCCCGCAAAGCTCCTGCCTCTGGCCCTCCACTGGGATTCTCTAGTCCAGCAAATTCCGTGGTCCAGTTGCCAGACCAGGGAGTCTCAGTTTAGAGAGTTTTAACCTGTACTGTAAACCTCTAGGATTCAGATGTTATGTTCCTTCTCTAAGTTACCGCCAAACCTTTTGCATCTGCTAAAGTCATGTAAGATGTCTTCCTCCTTCTCAGATGTCTAGCGGTGCCAGCCAGGATGTGAACACTGTGAGAATCAGTCTTTCTTGAAATAATTTGCCATTTCTGATGATTGAACCTAGATAGTGAGAGACACATGAGAATGGGAAAAAGGGATAAAAGCTATATTATAACCCCTTTAGACCTCAGGATAATTTTGGGTTTCAATTTTTGGGTGGCAGCTCCTGTTTGACCCTTTTCAAAATCAAAATACCACTCAGGGATTAAAAACAAACAGAACAGATCCTCAATAGGTAGTGTGCATGTGTTATAGAGACATTTCAACAAGGAAATCCTCTTTACTCTGTGGTGCAGGAAACAGCCCTCTGCAGAATAAGCAAGGCAATGAATACAGACAGAGAATATTTCGCAACAGGAATATGTTTTTCTTTCCTCCTAAGGCTCATGAGCCTGGCACAGTGGGAGATACCCAGGGCTGAAATGAAACACTTACTAGCACAATTCATCCTGCGTGGAGTAGAATTATAAAGAGTTGTTCTGCCTTAATGCATTAGCTGAGTAATGAGTTTTACTGAAGCATTATTAACTTGCTGGATAATCACAATTCTGACCACATCATTGTCGACTTCACACATTTGGGCCCGGAGGAAAAAGCTCAGTGCTTCAGAGGTTCAGCTACAGATGTTGCCATTAATAATATGGATTGTTCTCTCTGGAGATTTTTCTTTTTCTGTGTGATGTGTTTGCATAACTGGAGATATGGCATTGTTTTTTGTTACTGAAATTATTAGCTATTTTCTTTTAGAAAGGAGCCCTCTGTAAATCATGAGATGTGGCTAATAGGCATGGCAGCAATAAGCTTATCAATGCTATAGTTCTGCACAATTGCCTTTATCTTTGTGCTATCTGCAGAACAGTTGCAGCCATGTCAATCCTTGTATGTTAGAGGCAAGGTGGGTGAGGTAATATATTTTATTGGAACCAGCTGCTGACTTTCCCATGTTCATCACCACTGCCTTGAAAACACATACTCAATATCATGTTTACCCTGTGTTGTAAAATGTTGTCCCTCCCAGCTGATTCTGAAGACTGAAAGGCCTTTTCTTCCAGGCAGTTTCTGCATCTACTTAGTAAATATTAACATGAACAAGCCAATGATTTACAAAAGAAGGCTGTGAGACTCCTTCACAGTGTAAGAATTTAGGGGCTGACATATGGAACAGAAAACTGTTTCATCTAGGCCCAGATTCAGATTCTATAATGGTGTAAATCAGATGCTATTCAATTGAAGTCAATGGACTTATATCAGTATTAAATCAATGAAAGCAATATTGGAATTTGACCCCTTGTTTGATATTTTTATTTGACAATGGACAATGCCAGATGTCTTAAAAAGAAGTTGTGAAATCCTCACAAAACACCTAACACTGAATTATTATGCATAGAAGAAATTTCTTCCTGACCATTCTGGGGAATCAGCATGTGCCCTGACACATGAGTGTTAGTAGCAATGATCATTATTATTTTAGCTAGTATAACTGCAGATGCCATTCATTTCCTCTAAATGCTTAATCATTTTTTGTAACGTACTAAGCCAAGTGAAAGTCATTCAAACACAACCAAAACCCTCCATTTGTATTATTGAACCTCTCTCCTCCAGCATCCTTGGGACCTGACTGGTGCCAAACCAGAGAATTTGCCGAACCAGGGGAAGTCAATACTGTCTAGCAACATTACCAACACTTCTACTGCTTCCTGTACTCTTAGGAGACATTTAGGGCTAAGTAACAGCACAGAACACTGAGAGTCAGGACTGGTGGCTATAAACAAACTTTATGAGACTTCAGGAAACTTGGCCACACCCATGATAAGTGGCCATCTGGTTAACTACAATCATGTCAGATCACGGATATTGACAGACCAGAGGGTGCTGGACAAGAGAGGTTCAACCAGTAGTCTGCTAGTAAGACTTAGAGAGGACAGCGGAAGGAGCATGGGTGGCAGGTTTGTATAATTTTTGGTGGTGCCACATTAGCTATGCCCCCTGGCCCCTGTTAGCCACACCCCCTGACCTGCTCCCCCTCCCCCCGTTAGCCATGCCTCTAGAGGTAACACTCTCGGGGCAAGATGGACACATGACCAAGAATAAAAGTGTCATGTCACCCCTCTCAAAGGGCTTTTCCGCCCCCCTCCTGCCCCCACCAAAGCCCCCTCATGCAACTATCCCGCAGTTGCATTAACCCAATGTGTGTGACATTAACTCGGGGGCAGAGAGGCTGGGGGAAGTGTTCCCTCTAAGGCTATGTCTACACTTGTGGCTTCTTGCACAAGTACAGCCGTTCTTGCGCAAGTGCAGCTGTTCTTGCGCAAGAACCCACAGAGCATCCACACTGCCCACCTGCTCTTGTGCAAGGAAATTTACAGTACGGCGCAGTAAAAGAGGGTCTTGCACAAGAGCTACGCTCTTTTCTAACAGGTGTAAGCTCTCTTGTGCAAGAGGGCAGTGTGGATGCTCGGCAGGGATTTCTTGCACAAGAAACCCCTTTGGCTAAAATGGCCATCGGAGCTTTCTTGGGCAACAGAGCATCCACACTGCCATGGATGCTCTTGTGGAAAAGCACACTCGCACATGACAGTGTGGACATGTTCTTGCACAAGACTTCTTGCACAAGAACCCTTGCGCAAGAAACCGCTAGTGTAGACATAGCCTAAGAGTTTCCTCCCATGAGCAGAATGAATTGTGTTGTGCACCAGTACTGTGGCTTGTTTGGATGTGCCACTGTGGCACCCAAGTTATTAATAAATATTTTTAAACCTTTACCTTCTCTCTGCTGCCATGTGTCCTCCCCTTGTTCCATCAGCTCCCCTGGTGCCTGCTGCCCCCCAGCTCCTCACTCTCCTCTCCTGTCCTGACTCCTGCCCTTCTCACTGCCCTCTGCCCTCCTGCAACCTGCCCCCCTCCACCAGCCCTCTCCTCCAGTAGCCCCACTCTGATCATGTGAACTACCCCTCCTCATCCCCTCTTCTAACACCTCCCTCTACACACCTGCCCTGCCTCTCTCCTCTGGTGCTGGTCCCTCCAGTGCAGGTATCTGCCCTTCTGCTTCACCCCCCCTGGAATCCTCTGGCACCTGCACCTTCCCTAAATGGCTATTCAGATAAAGTACAGGTGGTTTTATAAAAGATGAATTGGCCAGACTAATTTAACTTCTTTCTTTGGGAGAATAATGAATTTTCTATTAAAAGAAATGTAGTAGAGGTGATCTACCTGGATTTCAGCAAAGCATTTAATACTGGGAGTTTACTAGTTAAACTGTAAGAAATGGGGATTAATACAAGAATTGTGCCGGCCTTCCTCATGCTCACCCCTTCTTTCAAGACTTCTCCTAGCACCTCGTCCTCCAGCCCCCAATGCCCTTACCCTCTCCCCTCCCCCTCCGCACAAGCCCCTTCCTCTCCCAGCCCTTCCCCTAGTTTTCTCCCTCCCCTTCTGCACAAGCCCCTTTCTCTTTCACCCCTTCCCCTTCCTTCCCCCTGCCCCTCCACACAAGCCCCTTCCTCTCCCAGCCCTTCCCCTTCCGCTACCTTCTGCCTTCCACTTTGCAGGGCTGGAGTCTGCACTCCATCCCCAGCCTCCGAAACCGCAACTCAGCCACGCAGCGCAGTGCAATGCAGCACCCAGCAGTTTTAAAATCCCAGGCCGTGATGTTACTTCATGCCCGGGCGTCTCCACGCCCACCTGTTTGAACACGCTTCAAAGTAGGAATAAGAGATCCTCTGGAAAAGGGCTTTTTTCTGGAGGATCGGGGCCAGTGTAGAGGCTCTTTTCTGGCTTTTCTAAAAGCCAGAAAAAAGCGGCGGACATTTTTATTTAAATGCCGTGGGGGATATTTAAATCCCCCGCGGATTTCCCTATTATGACCTGTGAAATTAACATGCCCCTTTCAGAAAAGGGGCCAGTGTAGACGTAGCCCGTGAGTACGTACTACCCTGAGAAGGGGGGAGGAAGGAAGTAGCCCAGGGCAGGGCGGTGAAACAGCCCGTGGGCTGACGCGTTTAGGGGCACAACCCCATCAGCCGGACCAAGACTGGTGCACAGTCTCAGTCCTTAGGGCCCTGGGCTGGGGCCCTAGAGTGAGGGCAGTCCCGGGCCCCTCTTCCTTCCCCCACCTGAGGAGAAGGGAAATACAGCAAAAACCCCAACGTGAAGGGCAAGATCACCCAATTTGACGAAAAGCTGTCCAGCCCCCCGGACCAGGCTGGGGGTGCCCAGTCACATGAACATTCCAAAAAGTGTCAATTCAAAAAGTGATCTTGTACTTTTAAATGTTGCAGCCCAATGATATAGCCCCTACTGGTATGCACTAAAGGTTCCCTAGTATTCTTTCACAAAATGTAGTTTGAAACAGTATTATGTGTATATATAAAGAGAAAGCCCTGAAGCATCCAGATATTTATATAGAATTGAAAAATTGCTAAAAAAAAACACTCAAACAAACACTGCTCCCCTTCTCCTGCAGACTTTAAAGCTCTGATTTAGAGATAGCAGCATGGGGTTGCAGGGCACTCTCCAAATGTGGGGCCAGGAGCTCACTGGCTGCCGGCCCACCTCCGGGGACTATCAAAGAGTCATGTAACCACTAAAATTTGATGTTATTACACAACTATTCAATTACACACTCTGTAATATCCCTAATGTTGACTCTACATTGTTTAAAAGCTTAGCAATTGATTTCACTCTGATGGTGAAAAACATCTGTCAGGGCTGTTCCCCACTTTGGCACTCCAACAGCAGAAGATGGGGGCCTGCAAAAAGCTAAAACAAAAAACCATCTTTGCTGCTATAGGCACTGGTTACAAAAAAAAAAAAAAAAAATGAATAACAAAACACAGATTTTTTGGGAATCACTGTCACCATCAAGTGATTTTTATCCCTAAAAACCAGGGATAAACACTTGAACTCACCTCCCAGGGTTATTTCAAACTGTTTTGCCCTAAAAGAGCTTGGAAAAAGGAGAGAGAAAAACAAGCTGCGGTCTCTAGTACCTGATCTCTCAGTCTGAAGCAGACAGACAGACCTCCTGTACCTTCCAGGACACAAGAATCAAATCATCCACT